CACACACACACAACTCTTTCTCACACACACACACTTGCTCAGAACTGTCATCTCGAATTTTGTTGTGGAATGCATCTAACGTGCAAAAACAATCCCTTTAAACCTGACAGGATTGAGTCCCTGAAAGGACCCGAGAAACAATGAGAAGTTCTCATCGCCATAGCCAGTGTTGTTGCCATCGCCAATGAGGCGAGAAAGTAAAATTGTTGAGAGAATCAGATTGCGAAAACCGTTCAGAAATTGAAAGTGGCATCGGAAATTGCAGAAAATCAAAACTGACGTTGTTCCGGTTTTGGGCTTAGCCGGTTGCCATTCACATGCACTGATTGCAAAATAAAATAAAAGAAGCAGTCCCTGAACAACAGGTAATCACAACCTTGCAGGTACACACGGGTGATCAATCCATGCTTCCTGGGATGCTTGCAAAGAGCTTCAGTGTGCAGAGCTTTGCAAGTCCCCTCTGCCCCCCTGCAATACGAAAAGGGATCTCCTATAAAATGACGTGAGTGAAAAACCTACTAACACAACAAGTCAGTTAGAAGTTTTACATCTATTCAGATGGTTCACACACAGACTCAGACGCCCAAAAAAGAAGCATGACCAGTCAGATAGGAAGTTGCTGGACAACTGGTCGCGGATCAAAAGATCAAAATGCCAGAAACAGATCTGAACGCACAATGCTTTACACAGAAATGCGTCTGTGGTTTTTACAGGCGTTGCATGACATCATCACAGTCCAGCTCATCAGGGATCTCGGCTTCAGCATTCTCGAGAGGTTGAGCCATGATGTTAGCAGTAATCGCCAGGTGGCAGCTCAATTGAGAAAGTTGTTCTCTGGTGCAAAGACGTAGGTTGCTCTCCCTGGGATCCATGGCTGGGGTCTGGAGCAGCTGGAGGATGGGGCCATTGAAGTCCGGATCGTGGACCATCACATCGTAAAGTATGTGGGCCAACTGGCTGATCTGCTGAGGCACCGATGGGGTTTGATTTTCAGTGACCGGATGGATTCCATCAGTATCATCCTGAGCCGTTTGTTCATCAGCTGGGTCAAGGTCATCGGCCTGGTTCTGATGCGGCTTAGTCTGGTACTCCTTGTATGGGACCTCCTTAACGTTGAAAAAACGGCGCCAGTAATTGGCAATTCTGGAGGCTTCCCTCCATCCGTTGATGGGGTAGCGCCATTTGTGTTTGGTATGACCAACAATGCCATAGAAGAAGTGTTCCGGATGTTTGAGACGTTCTCGTCCTTGCCAGTCGACTTCTGAGATCCGAAGTTCCGTTTTTTGATCTGGGCCCTCACCCGTTGTGAACACTTCGAATTGCTGGGTATGTACCACCCGTCGGCGGGTCTCTGGATCTGACCCGGAGGGCTGTAGAGAGGTTGAGTTCCAGGATTCGTCCATCATAGGCATTGGAGTAGGCTCGACTGAGACGGAGTAACCTTGCCCAGGATTGGTGGGCCCAAATGGTTCCATGGGAAGGCCTGGAAGGGAAGGAGCAGCACCGGATGGTGATGATGCAGCCAAAGAAGGTAGTTGGCCTGACGTTGCTCCCGAGGTCGACCAGTGAGCCATGCGATGGAAACGAGGTGAAGCCAGGTTGGCCATAGATGTGTCGCGTTTCGTCATATTGAGAGCTCAAAATTACAGAGGCCAAGGAGGATTAAATGTCAATGACAAGAAAATAGTGGAAACCAGAATGCACAAAAAAGAAGTCACAGGTGAAACATGGTCCCAGTGCAGCAGCAGCACGAAAGGTCTGTTTTGAGTCCGGAAGCAGTCACGGAAGGTAATTGGGCGGCAAGGCCTTGTGGCAGGACATGCGCATGATGTACGGCTGGGATGGGCTATTGAACGGTACTGGAGAGCCGAAGATCCCAACTTCTTGTGCCTGGGCCCTGGGCCCAGCTTGGGTGGTGTTCCAGGAAAAAAACGACTGATGGTATGAGGGTTTTGTAGAGCGAAGATATCGCCGGTGGCATCACTCCATCAAAGATCCATGTCATCAGCGTCAATGTTGACGCCCCAGGTACTAAAGATGTATTGACTGATGCCTGACAATAATTCGCCAACCCATGTCGTTTGGAGTTGGCTGGGATTGAGGAGGCGAGAGTAGGTGAACATGGCCATTTCTTCAGGATCCCGAAGGTCAGGTAGAGTGAGGCAGCTGGTGACAGTCATAGCATCCGAAAATTGTTCTTCCATTAGATGACGAACCTGAGTGATGTCAACCAGAATAAGTACTCTGCGAATTCGACGAAGGGCCGGTGTGTAGTTCCAAGTCAAAGTACGGTCATGATCATGGGGACGATCAGGTTCAGGGTGACCCCACATAGGACCATTTTCGTGAGTGTTACGGGAACGGGAGCGGGGACGGGACATGGTAGCGGACGGCTACTGCAAATCGAGCCTTTGAAAGAATGAGAAAGAGGAAACCAATCACTAGCAATGGTGCACGAATGAAAAGCAGCACTGAGACATTAATCAAGAAAAGAATCTGTGCAGGGAAAACCACGTTAATAAGGGCAAGCTTTTTGCCCCAGCGATGAAAATTAAATCAAGTCAAAACGACCTATTGACATTTTAGTCCTCCGCCTCAGGTTCAGTGCGGGAATTCAACTCCGGCCGGGTTTGTTTCAACCAGAGCCACCGTGCGCGGCATGATTCCGGAGTTCGTTTGAGACTTTGCCCGATCGTTTTCCATGCCGGGCGGGCTCTGGCATCGCTTTTGTAGCTGATCAATTCGTGGTCTTCACTGCCGGTCCAAGGACGGAGTCCTGGATTAATGGTAGATGGTGGTGGAAGAATAGGATCCGTAGTGGAGTCCCGGGCCGGCTCTTCATCGTGAGGTCCGGAGATGGTGAGGGGCGTGGACGGCTCGGAGCCGACGCTGTAGAATTGGTCATCTCAAGAGGTGGCGGTCTTGGTCTGGGGTTGGATGGACGACTGCGATGTCCGGAGTCAGATTCATCCGTTGTTGGAGCATCAGTTGGATGACCACCCCCTGGCGTGAGGCGCGGAGCGGTAATTGTTGCAGTGTGAGCTTCGGATACAGTGACATGAGCCCGTTGTTTTTTCTTGGGTCGAGGTTTGGGATTGGGTGGAGGATTTTCCAGTCCCGGTTCAGTGGGCTCACTCATTGCCGTCGAGAGAAGTGGTAGGTTTGCCGGGTTGAAGGATTCTCCCCGTCTGGATCTTGGCCTGGCAGTATTCGAAGGGTGACTACTTTCGGATGGCCGGATCGACAGTGGACAATTGGGCTCCGGATTCACAATCATATGGGTTGGAATGCCCCCATGTGACGCAAGAGTTGGATGTGCCGGTGATGACGGGAGAGGCACAAAGGTATGGAGATGGCGGCCAGGATGAATGGGATGTGGACTTGGGAGGGGATATGATTGCATTCTGCGATGTGTTCAAAGAATGGCAGAAATCCAGCAACGGTGTTCAGATGCATGATGGCTCTGGCCAAATGGTGGTGGATTTCACCACAATTGGACGACCAAGTGGAGTCCATGGTGCACGGTGGAGCGAGAAAATAAGGGAAGCGGGTTTGAGCCAAGAACTAAGAAACAACGAGGAAAAAGAAACCACCGGAACAAAGCAGAGACCAAAAAGGAAAGGAAAAAGAAAGGAAAAAGGAACAACCCTGAAAACCCAGCCAAAAGCAGCGCGACGTGTCCTTTTTCACTGTTGCGATGGAGATCCAAAATACGGGAAGAAATGGCAGTAAGTTCTTTACCGGAGAAGCCTGCCAAAGTGTACAGGTGGATCAGTTGATCGAGTCCTTGTTGAACACGATAGTCAGGGAAGTCTCCTTAACCACGATGTGGCACCTAGAACGAAAGCCACTAAAAAGGACTTTGGGTGGGGAGGCTGAAAACGGAGAGAGGACCTGAGAGATGTTGGTTGGTCCACAGTAGATCAGCTCGAGAGGTTTTGTTTCCAACATGAAGCCAAGAAATTCTTGGTCCGGTTCAGTCTCCAGAATGATGGGTTTTCCATAGAAACCTTCATCGAGAAGGACCTCGTATGGTGAAAGATCTTGGAGACGGGCATCGCCGAAGATGAGTCGGTTGTCAACATAGCGAATGTGTTTGACGAAAAGATTGTGATTTGTCAATACCTGTTTGAAGTTGATAGACCAAATCTGTTCACTGATGGAGACCACCATCAGGCATAAGGCCGGAGAGAGTGGACTGCCCATCGGACTGCCTCTGCGTTGACGAATGCAGCGGTTGCCCAGTGCGAACGTTTGCATGTCAAGTGCAGTCTTGATGAGGGATGGGACATCTTTGGTGCCAATCTTCCGAGTGACATTGAGTCGTCGAAAGGTGCGACCCTTGATGATGTCTCCTGGGTTGTTGGACTTTCCAGGGTAGACTGAGAAGGCCTCATTTTCTCCCACATTCATGTGGGGACCCAGAAAGTCGAGGAGCATATGCCAAGCGTCAATGAAACGTGCTTGGTCGATGAAAGAAGCCCGCCAGGTCTTGGTTGATGAGAATGAGATCGCCATCAACTGGGACTGTTTGCAAGATGGTGAGGAGAGTGTAGACATCTCCTGACGCAAAGTGGTCTGGGCATGCCACCGGAATAAGTTGGAAGATTAATCTGGCCAAAATGTTGAGCATCGGACGAATTGGTGAGTCCGCGAACGAAATGGCGGGTCGGCCACTTTGGAACGAGTTCTTCTTTTTGGCCAAGATATAACCCGCTGGGAGTTGGCGACCTTTTTCCAATGGCCGCAATGGAGGGCGGAGACCAGCGATGTCACAACTTCTTGAGGTGCTTGAGGAATGGTTTCAAAAATTGAAGCATCCATGAAGGTAGCTTCGATCGCTTGAAGTAGAGGCATGGACAGAAGATCCGCAAGGAGGAAGCTTGTTTGTTTTACAGTGGAAGACTGCCTCTTCAGGAGAGAGCCCTCCGCGATCACCGATAGATCGTCCGGGAGCAGGCCTGTGAGTAGGGAACCTGCCAGGACCCAGTGGGCATCAGAAGGGTTGATGGCCGTTTGGCAGCAGCGTTGAGCATTGGGATTGGTGGACCATTGGGAGATCGCTTGTTTGTGGTTGCACAATTGGTCAAGCACCGAAGCATGCTTAATGAACACTGTCTTGAAAGACGGTGTATGGCATGGGACTTGGTAGGACAAAACTTGGAGATGCCAGTTGCGGAGGAATTGTTAGGCGATTTTTGAAGGTTGGGACTCAACGACCATGGGGCCCTGAGTGCAGAAGCACGTGGGGCTGGCTTTCCCTGCCACCAACGGATTGACGCGTCGATTGCTTGGAGGGAAAGAGTGCGGTATGGTTCCTGGATATTGTTTGCCAGCCGACGCAATGTATAGCATTGGGTAAGACCACCCTCATTGGAGCGAAGAAATTTGGTTTGTTCGAATCTGGCTTTGGTGTTGGTTCCCAAAGAGTGGATAATGGTCCATAGTTCCAAGCGATTTTGACACCGATCGGATGCCAGAATATCCTTAAGAGTGGCAAGGCCAAACTGGGCGTTGGTGTTCATAGCAGGTTTTTTAAGGATACCTTTTCTGGGATGGAAGAGCTGGCAAATGAAAGGGTAGTTGAGCCGAGGTTGCCATTCCTGAATGAGAGCAAGTTCAAGGCACCGAGAGTCGGCTCGCTCAACGAAAAGCCGAATTGGAGCCCAAGCATACAAATTGTTGTGCTCCTTCCAGAAACGGAGGGCTAGTTCAGCTTGGACAAGCTTGTCATTGGTGAGTTGGAGAAATTTCCTGGAGCGACTGTATTCGCGATCCAGAGTATGGTGCATTGCAGACCCAATATAGAATTTGGGTTGCATGTTCATAATGTGCGTGAAGCGAATGTAGACGCACTGGGGAAGGAAAAATGCTTCTGCAAAAAGATTGTGGGCTGTTAGTGATGAGCCCCAGAGGTGATTGAGATTGGCACACCCTTCCAAAATTGCTTTCAGTTTTTGATTGGGCCGAAGGCCATGGATGACTGACAGACCATCATTCGAGTTTGGATGATGCGAAAGCCGTGAAAAAGAGAAAGTGTGGAAGCCATGGTGAAGGGTGTGAGAATATAGATGATAAGGATCATCGAGTGGAGAGCTTGCAAATGGGATTGCAGCACCTTGTGCTTGAGCATCTTGCGCAAAAGTGGAGCTAGTCAATTGGTCATGCTGATGGCAGCAGTTAGGTGCTTGATGAGGTTGGATGCATCGAAGTTCTTGTTCAGCATGCCAACAGGAATGCCCATCATCACTGCCACTCGCTGGACCGTTTCAAGAGCTTCCGCTGGTTGGCGTTCCCACCATGTTTCGGTTTTGGCGATGTTCGTCATGAGCACCGTGCGTTGAGCTTCTGAGACTGGGAGGTCCCTCAGCCACTTATTGAAAGCACGGATGGCCAGGCCAGGGGGCATATTTTCTACACGAGAATTTACAGGAAAAAAATCGAAAACAGATTGAACACCTTGATCAAGCAGCGGCCTTTACCCTTACCGTAAGAACCCCTCAGTGTGGACATTGTTTGTGGAATGAACCGTAAAAAGGCAATCTTACACATGGACGAACCATATTATGTGAAGCATACAACGCACGTCAATGCACAGTGATTCAGTTTCCATTTTTTCATATCAACCACAGAGTCTTATTTTCACCATAACCATTGACCATGAAAACCAGTGGTTCCTGGTTCCCCATGGCTTGAGGCTTCCTGTCTTCGTGGTATGATGATGTCGATCTCTTTCGCGCCGATCCCTCGACCTGGGTTTGTGGCACGAATATCACGCCGGGGTGGCTCATGGATATGGACCAGTTCAAGGCCAGGTGGGGCGGCTCGGCCACCCAGCAGCTGGTGGGCAAGTTCAACGCCACGCAGGCCCTGTGCGGTGGAGTGGGCCGTGGACTGAGGCCGTGAACATGTTGAATACCACAAGAACATGGGTAGTTTATGTTAGGTTTATGGGGAAAATGAACAAAATGATGGAACGCATGGTGATAAATGGTCCGTGTTTAAGATGCAGTCAGCAAAAATGATGATAAACTGATGAAAATCTCATGTTAATGGATGGTCGGCCCCGAGGTTCTTTTGGGATTCTAATGGATTTTAATGGAGTGTGATGGTTCTCCTCAGATTTAAATACGACCAACATGCTCGAATTTTAATGGATGGTCATTGATGGTCTGAAAATGTGTTCACCCCCACGTAGTGAACAACTCCGCATTTGCCGTCCATCACATTTCCCAATTTGAGAAGGGTAGCCAGGTTCGATACAATTGACAGGCATGTCATGTGCTGCATCCCAATGCCAATACCTTGCTTTAAAATTGACGAGACAACCTATTGGACGTTCTTCTCTTGATTTTTTTGTCGAGATACTTATTGGATCTTATTGGATTTTCTTGGCTCCTGGCCCATTCCGGCCTATAACAGCAGGCCGATGTCCCGATGGCACTGGAGCGCTTGAGGGAAGGCTTGGCCTTCGTGGGTTTGCAAGAAGAGTGGTCACTTTCCATCTGCCTGTTTCACGCGAAATTCGGAGGACCCTGTCGCAAACTCGAATTTCTGGACACCAGACCCGGAAAAAACGTTGCCAGCACATACGACACAACGATTTTGAATGGCTGGGTGGATGAAATGGATCGTCCTGTCTATGCAGAGGCCATCAACATGTTCAAAGCGGATTTGGAGAAATTTGGCGTTTCACATGAAAGCTGTACGGCTTGTTATGAGGAAGCTGGCTTGGATTTGACATCTTAGGTGCATTTATGGTCAGCTTCCAATGTTGGTCTTTTGGGGCCAGGTGTGGGCCATGCCAATGGCATGGCAGAAACATGGCATTGATATTGCAGCAAAAGTGTGAAATGCGTGACCACACGGAGGTTCTGATTGAATGTTGTAGCTATGGAGTATTTTTCCTGATGAATTCTAGCAAGCCGGCCGACATTGTCAGAAATGATTGTTGAGGACATGGTTTCCATCTGGGGAACTGTTCCAAAATTGTCTTAATTTAGTTTCATGCTATTGAAAACTGAGCAACAGGATGCGCAGAGGGTTCAAAAAAGTGTGGCCAAAAAGATGCCAACCATTCCAGAATTACAAAGTGACAGAATTGTCCTGTGCTGATCCTGCACCCCATGCAAGCCAGAGCTCCACAATAGATCAACTGAAAACAAAAGAAATGTGTCGGGCACTTGCGCCCAAAGACCTTAACTAAGCATGTATGTCACATATGTCAACGAGGGAACTGGCCGGGACAGCATTTTCCTTATTTCCTGACTTATTTCAGCCCGTGAGCTCCTGTCGCAGCAACTTATGGTCCCATTCTCAGGCTTTTCTGCTGAACTTAAAGGTCCAGATTTTGGAGCGCAAACTTTTGTGTCAGTGAAAGTCGTGCCACAGAAATTGTTTGGCTTCTTTTCTCTCTGCTCCTGTGCTGTTTGGCTTGCCCTTCAACTGCCTTTTTCATTTTCCCAAAATCCGATGGCAGACTTTGTTACTCGCCTGCCATCGGATGTCTCCGGGCAGAGCCCTGCGCAATCCGACCATTCGACTGCCTCCGTGTGGTGGATCGGAATTTCGCCCGCTGATTCCAAGGTGTCAATCTCAGCATGAGTGAAGGGTGACATATGGTGACATATTTGCCAAGAAACAGACCCGGACGAGACCAAAATCGGAGGGTGGGAAACACGAGCAGAAGAGTGGACAGTTTACATGCTGTTGCCCTTTCTTTTGAGGCAAACAAGTGTGGAAACAGATTGTTGCTGTAAGAAGTATATAGAGAAAGCAGCCCTGATGTTAGTGATTTGCGCTTTGCGCGATCCCTGCATCCCTGTGACAGGTGAGCGGCCTGATGCGCAACAGATTCCAGTGAGGAAAACGATGGAAAAGACTTGTAAACGCTTGCAGCTGCCACACTGTTGACATGCTCTAATAGTCCAGGCAATGGTGCTAGAATCGACACATGGGAAGATGTGGGAAGTATTGTTGCAGGTATTGATCTTGTTCCAGGAGAATGGCATTACATGTTATGTTTTCTAAACACTGCAGGTGGTTGTTTTGTGAATGGGTTTCTTCTCCGTAAGTATCTTCTATTCAACAGCACATGCCTGGTGCAGTGATGCACAGTCTGGGTTTGTTCACTTTGGGCCTTTCCATATCTTTTCATCTTTGCGAGATCAAGACACAAGATGTTGATCCGTGTGGTTCATCGTGGCTACAGTACTGAAGACGCATGTTTGATAGGTCCTTTGTTTGGTCATTCGCTTGCGTTTCATCTTTCTTTCAGAAGTCCATTGCTGAAGACTGCAATATGATTTTTGGCAGAGTTTGGCTCAAGTAGTAGCAACTGGTGTTTGGTTCATCAGCCTCGCGCATTTCACCCTTTGGCCCGGGTCTGTGGCTGATTGAAGTGATGGACGAGACGGAACCTAGCACACATTTCCCCGTGTTTACCTTGGAGTTATAGCGATTGAGATCTGATCAAAAAGCTCCCTATGTCCATGCGTCCCTGTAGCAGTTGTGCAATGCAAATGCAAGACATGCTTTGCACTCAAAAGCTTGACCGGTCGAGAGATGTTGTGTCGGTCGCCCGACGGATGTTTCGCTTTGCACCAGATATTTCATGATCCGAGCAAGTCACAAGACTGGGCACTATGAACCATGCAGCCTGGTGCAGCCTGGTGCACCAATGACCAGGCCAGGATTTTCTCCGGGGCTTATCAGTGGCCATTCGACCTATGGAGTGGCAGGACTGTTGGCAGCACAAAGCATAGACGCCATTGACGCCACTTCGACCCAGCCGAGAAAAACTCACTCAGAGGTCTTTCCTCCGAACTGGCATCCGGGAGGTTTCTTTTAAAAGTTTCGTATCCGAAGAAGTCAATGGTTTTGCTCTCCCGCAGTGCACGTCGCTCCTTGCAGCGCTTGAACCTTCGCAAACGGCGGTGTGTCCAAGTACATCGATTCAGGAGCCCAAACAATGGCCCAGCCGGGCCACGTTGCCGAATGTTTCGCAAGCCATGGTCATGCACTCATTATCATATGGGTCATGGAGAAACCAAGACACAATATGTCCAGGGCAACTTATGTCGCTGAGCAGTTCTTCCATTCGAACATGTCTTTGAAGAGCAATTAGTTGGCTTCAGTGTTAAGCGACATCCCAGAAAAAATCCAAAGGTTTGGTGGGCATATATCGGTGTTTGTAAACCTTTCTGTCCAAAATGATGGTGCTGTGACAGGACTGTCAATCTCTAAAGCCTTGATATACATCCCCAGACACTCTGTTTGCCTATCCGCATTCACGATGCGCAAAGCTGTTTGACATCCCCTCGATATCCAACTGCCGTGTGTTTTTTCCCATCGGACCTTCTAACAGCAGGGCCGGTTCAGCCAGGTTTCAGATAAAGCGGTCCGGCCTTTCGTGCCTTGATCGTTCAGATTTTGCCCAGACCGACCGGTGCAGACGGCCGTGTTTGAGTGACAGTGATAGTGGCTGAACAGTCAACAGCATTTCGATGTGAGCCGCGTGCAAAACTCTCGGTGGGTCTATTCTGTTTTGCTTTCACCGAATTAATGCTTGCAAACATTGAATGACCACATGCGTGCAAGCGTTTTAAAGACTTCGAGAAAGCACTTGGTTCACACCAAGCTCGCGCCAGCTCCAAATTCAGTATATAGATATGATGTTTAATAGCCTGGTCTGAAAGAGACCTCGTGCATGCAGGTATCTGATTGAGGAAACTAAGTCCACAAAAGAAACCCTAGCAAATAGTTCAGTGAAGTTTTGCAGGAACCAACCAAGTTTCTTAATTCTGGAACATGTAGCACCAAACAGTTGACCACGAGCATTTCAACATGTGTTTGGAGACCGGGTAGGCTTTCTGAAACAGAGTGTGCAACGCTGTCAGATTTCCCACTCTTTGTTGGGGCTTTGACGACAAAATCTTGGACGCCAGAAGGAGGTCCCAAAAATGACGTAAGATGTTTTTTTTCATGTAAACAAATGCAGTTGTGCATTGTTAGCTTTTGTCTAGCTTTTCGATTCAACAGAATCATACAGATTCCAAGTCACCCGCTGATAGAATTTGTCCGTCATGGTAAGTTAGATACTGTTTGTCTCAGCAGATGCAGAAACGTGTTCAGTCCTTTAGAATGGGTCGTGTCTTGTGCTGGGACAGTTGAAATTTTGGCCATCTTTGCTGAACCTTTCGCAAGCCATGGTCATGCACCCATCATATGAGTCATGGAGAAACCAAGACAAACAATATGTCCAGGGCAACTTATGTCGCTGAGCATTCTTTCCATTCGAACATGTGTTTGAAAAGTAGTTAATTGGGTTCACTGTTATCCGGCATCCAAGAAGAAACCCAAAGGTTTGGCGGGCATATATCGGAATGCTGCTGAAAAACTGCTGACGGAATGCTGCTGCGGACATGTAGTTCTTCAAGAGCTGCATATCGCTGCTGAAAAAAATATTAGTGTTTGTAAACCTTTCTGTCCAAAATGATGGTGCTGTGACAGGACTGTCAATCCCTAAAGCCTTGATATACATCCCCAGACACTCTGTTTGCCTATCCGCATTCACGATGCGCAAAGCTGTTTGACATCCCCTCGATATCCAACTGCCGTGTGTTTTTTCCCATCGGACCTTCTAACAGCAGGGCCGGTTCAGCCAGGTTTCAGATAAAGCGGTCCGGCCTTTCGTGCCTTGATCGTTCAGATTTTGCCCAGACCGACCGGTGCAGACGGCCGTGTTTGAGTGACAGTGATAGTGGCTGAACAGTCAACAGCATTTCGATGTGAGCCGCGTGCAAAACTCTCGGTGGGTCTATTCTGTTTTGCTTTCACCGAATTAATGCTTGCAAACATTGAATGACCACATGCGCGCAAGCTTTTTAAAGACTTCGAGAAAGCACTTGGTTCACACCAAGCTCGCGCCAGCTCCAAATTCAGTATATAGATATGATGTTTAATAGCCTGGTCTGAAAGAGACCTCGTGCATGCAGGTATCTGATTGAGGAAACTAAGTCCACAAAAGAAACCCTAGCAAATAGTTCAGTGAAGTTTTGCAGGAACCAACCAAGTTTCTTAATTCTGGAACATGTAGCACCAAACAGTTGACCACGAGCATTTCAACATGTGTTTGGAGACCGGGTAGGCTTTCTGAAACAGAGTGTGCAACGCTGTCAGATTTCCCACTCTTTGTTGGGGCTTTGACGACAAAATCTTGGGCGCCAGAAGGAGGTCCCAAAAATTACGTAAGATGTTTTTTTCATGTAAACAAATGCAGTTGTGCATTGTTAGCTTTTGTCTAGCTTTTCGATTCAACAGATTCGTACAGATTCCAAGTCACCCGCTGATAGAATTTGCCCGTCATGGTAAGTTAGATACTGTTTGTCTCAGCAGATGCAGAAACATGTTCAGTCCTTTAGAATGGGTCGTGTCTTGTGCTGGAGGACAGTTGAAATTTTGGCCGCAGACTTCAGATTTGCAGGGAAGCCAACTTTGTGATGCATCGTCCTATGGGACGGATCTAGAAATTTAATTTGTGCTTGAAGCAGATGCCGAACAACACGATGCCTCGAAGCTGTGCACTCCTCATGAATTGAAAATTAGGACCGCTCATGTATTGACCATGGTCGTTCGCGAAACGAAACACGCAATCAGGGGATGCCTTGTGAGACACCTGGTCGACTAGCCCTTTGAACGGGCTTGTTCATGTCACATGTGGGCCATTCCAGTACATACACATCAAGCATGCTGGTGCAACATGACTCCTGCGAGGGGGGTTTGTCAGCCAATGAATTATCCCTCCAACTTATGTAAGCCCAGTAATTCTCTTCAACCTCATTACTGACCAGGCCCTGGTCGGGAAAATTCGCATTGTATGTCCATAAATGGTCTTCAACCTCATGATCTAGTGGTGCCAGAAATGCGATCTAATGGAACCAGAATCAGCTAGAAAATATGGTGCGATCGCACAATCCAGCTTGCAAGTTCTGGTGATGAATGGATGAGAAGAGATTGCTTGGTTGAAGTCTTCCAGTTCTGTTGAAACTTCAGCGGCCCCAGGCTGTGCCAATTCTGTGGTCGTTGGATGCCAGTAGCCCATGATTGACTGTAAAACTTCTTGTAGTGTGATGCACTACAGCTGCAAATGCAGTCAACATCAACGATCCTGTCACGCTCCGGAATCGCCATTTTCAGTTCGATCGAACTGATCAAAAATTGCTTGTCCACTGTACTACACTAGGCTCCTGGGACTGACATGTCATGAGACTGACATGTCAATATAGACTTTCAGAAGCCACATTTGTATGTCGAGTGCGCATCAATTGGATGGGGCTGACTG